GCACATTGCACTGGTAATGCTGAGTCCGGGACCCTGACCACCAACAGTGTTCTTTCCTGATGTGGCCGTAAGAAGATTGAATCCCTTATATAACCACAAGGCTGGAATATGGACAGGCGGCCGAGGTTAAGAAGATGATAGCGGTATTCAAGGCTAGATTAGAAAGGATCATGTATAATCCCCACTCTGCTCACGTGGGGACAGTAAACCTCAACGATCCAAACACAGTCATGTGCAAATGTATTCACTTTTTTTATTTCATCTCCAGCCAATTCCACCCTTGTGTGACCATAGTTTATATACTGCTCAGAAAAATTAAAAGGAACTCTTTGAAAACACATCAGATTTCAATGTGGAAAAATCTCATGCAGGATATCTATACTGGCATGGACGGGGCAATGTCTTAGGAATGTAAGGATGCCCCATAGCTTGATGGAAATGAAAATGATCGACCTACAGAGGACGGAATTCAAAGACACCCCGAAAGTCAAAGTGAAAAAATAATGCAGAAGGCTAGTCCATTTTGCTGAAATTTCACTGCAGCAACTCAGATTGGTCCTCAGTAGTTTGTATGGCCCCCGCATGTTTATATGCATGCCTGACAACGTCGTGGCATGCTCCTAATGAGATGACGGATGGTGTCCTGGGGTGTTTCCTCCCAGATCTGAACCAGGGCATCACTGAGCTCCTAGACAGTCTGAGGTGCAACCTGGCGGTGTCGGATGGACAGAAACATGATATCCCAGAGGTGTTCTATTGGATTTAGGTCAGGTGAGCGTGGGGGCCATTCAATTGTATCAATTCCTTCATACTTCAGGAACTCCTAGCATACTCTCACAACATGAGACCGGGCATTGTCGTGCACCAGTGGGAACCCAGGGCCCACTGCACCAGCTTAGCATCCCTCCATGGATATGCCTCCTCAGACCATCACTGACCCACCACCAAAACGGTCATGCTGAACGATGTTAGACAGCATAACGTTCTCACGGCTTCTCCAGACCCTTTCACGTCTGTCACATGTGCTCAGGGTGAATCTGTTCTCATCTGTGAAAAGCACAGGGTGCCAGTGGTGGACCTGCCAATTCTGGTGTTCAATGGAAAATGCCAATCCCGCTCTATGGTGCTGTGCACAGGGCCCACTAGAGGACATCAGACCCTCAGTCCACCCTCATGATGTCTGTTTCTGATTGTTTGGTCAGAGACATTCACACCAGTATCCTGCTGGAGGTAATTTTGTAGGCTCTGGCAGTGCTCATCCTGTTCCTCCTTGCCCAAAGGAGCAGATACCGGTCCTGCTGATGGGTTAAGGACTTTCTATACTCCTGTCCAGCTCTCCTAGAGTAACTACCTGTCTCCTGGAAATTCCTCCATGCTCTTGAGACTGTGCTGGGAGACATAGCAAACCTTTTGACAATGGCACATATTGATGTGCCATCCTCGAGGAGTTGGACTGCCTACGCGACCTCTGTAGGGTCCAGGTATCGCCTCATGCTACCAGTAGTGACAATGACCCAGCCAAATGCAAAACTAGTGAAAAACAATCAGAAAAGATGAGTACGGAAAAAAAGGTCAGTGGCCTCCACCTGTAAAACTATTCCTGTTTTGGGGGTCGTCTCATTGTTGCCGATCTAGTGCACCTGTGGTTTATTTCATTAACACCAAAGCAGCTGAAACTGATCAACAACCACCTCTGCGACTAACCTGTCAAGATCAATATCCCAGGAGTTTGACTTGATGCTACACTCTGATTAAAAAGTGTTCCTCAATTCTTTTGAGCAGTGTATATATCGGAAGCTGGCCATACATATAGATAATATGATGCCAAGCTGATTTCCATTCAGGAGAAGTTGGCCAGCTCTTTGGAGAAATTGGCTTTGGTCTGGTCATTGTATGGTGGGAAACTCTTGGCATTGCCATCATACAGATCCGTTTTCCATAAATTATCCACCTGTAACCTAATTGTCCATATTCCCCATTCCTACTATGCATCCAGTGGTGGCTATACGATTCAATAAATAAATGATTGCCTCCTTCCATAAATGATCGCCTCCTTTTCTGATTGACCTCTCCCAATATAAATAAGCAATCTACAGTTGACATTCCATTCATGCAGTATAACGCACATGGGTAAATGGATGTACATAGTTAAAGACTTTTAAAATCCTGTACTTACCAGTGACTGGGGTCCAGTGCTGCCGTCCTGCAGCTGGTTTTTATTACCGCTGCAGGTCCCAGTCCCGCCACCTTTGATATAAGAGCTGGCTGTGGCTTCCTGGGGAACTGGTGAACATGCGCGAGATCATGCAGTACTTTGAAAATGGTTCTACAGCCTCCTGGGACATGTGATCTGCCCCAAAAGGCTGCGGGAGGGAGGGGATGGGGCAAAGAATGGCGAAAATTGAGGAAGTGGGAGTGGGTACCCCCACAATGCCCCCCAGTCCCCTGAAGTGCCCCCTAGCATGCTGCAGAGCCTCCTGCCCCCACATTGCCCTCTACTGTGTCCTACAGTGCCCCCCAGACCCCTGAAGTGCCCCTAGCTTGCTGACGCCCCCTACAGTGTCCTACAGTGCCTCCAGTCTCCCACACTGCCTCTGCAAAAAAACCCCAGCCCCCTCCAGAAACCCATCCACTACAGGGCCACCTGTTGTAGAGTTCCCTAAAGCCTCCCAAAACCTTCAACCCCCACAATGACACCCAGATCCATCCAGAACCTTCCATAATTTCAAAACATTTTATATTCCCATACTGTTATTGTACAAGTATACATTTATTTTTACTGCTGGAGCACAGGAGGGGTTGGAAGCATTTACGGGGCCCTGGTCTCATGCTGAGAAACACTGGAGTACGTTTGAATAGAATTTTTTTTTTTTAAACCAAGTTTAGTGTCACTTTAAGACCCCTTTCACACGGGCAATCCGATCAGGCAAGCCTCACAGTTTCTCAGGTGGACCTGATCAGATGGTCCACGTATCCCTATGGACCGGCAGATGTAGACGGACTAGTGTCCGTTTACACACACTAGTGCGAGAACTTCCTGCGCTAAAAATGGGGCCCTATTTAGCCAAGCAGCTGACACAAAACTCCTTTACCAAAATAAGTGAATAAGTATAAATATAAAGTGCAGCGCTCTCCCTAAAAACTGATTACAATAAATTAAATTAATAGAATAGTGCACACTTAACTAAAATATTCTACATAAAATACACACTACTGAACATATGTAACAAGATAGTGCATATACACATATGCACATAAACTAAGATAGTGCAAACCATGTGCTTCAAAGTGAAAAGAAAGTGCAATTGGAGATAAAATAAAGTGCAATGAAATCACTCCAATCATCTATTAAACATAATAAAAAATAAATAAAATAAAATATAAAATAAAAAAAAGTGTCCAAATGCATCAAAAACTAGCAATCTTCATGCATGTGTCACACGTGTCCACACTGTGTGAATCCAAACTTTGGCCGTGATGGCTCCTCACCTCCTTGCCCAGACCCCACAGGGTCAGCTCGCTCAACAACAGGACACCCTTTAGATGACTCGCCAGGTCCTTCCTCGCCTCTTACACTCTAATAACGATCTCCTCCTCAGTTAATATGCAAATGAAAACTCACATAGTGTAATCCTGTTTATTCAATCAGTAGATATAAGATAAAAATTGCCCACTCACATTTAGAATCGTCTTGTAACAAGCCTTCAGTACCCCATGCTATGAATATCCTGCATGGGTATATGTATACAGGGGTTTCAAATATGGCCGCCACGCCGGAAATGACGTCACTGCGCTCCCAGAATCCTCCTCGCGTTCCATTTCTGGGAGCGCTGGGGTGACGTCGGAGGTCGGTGACGTCATTTCCGGCGTGGCGGCCATATTTGAAACCCCTGTATACATATACCCATGCAGGATATTCATAGCATGGGGTACTGAAGGCTTGTTACAAGACGATTCTAAATGTGAGTGGGCAATTTTTATCTTATATCTACTGATTGAATAAACAGGATTACACTATGTGAGTTTTCATTTGCATATTAACTGAGGAGGAGATCGTTATTAGAGTGTAAGAGGCGAGGAAGGACCTGGCGAGTCATCTAAAGGGTGTCCTGTTGTTGAGCGAGCTGACCCTGTGGGGTCTGGGCAAGGAGGTGAGGAGCCATCACGGCCAAAGTTTGGATTCACACAGTGTGGACACGTGTGACACATGCATGAAGATTGCTAGTTTTTGATGCATTTGGACACTTTTTTTTTTTATTTTTATTTTATTTTATTTATTTTTTATTATGTTTAATAGATGATTGGAGTGATTTCATTGCACTTTATTTTATCTCCAATTGCACTTTATTTTCACTTTGAAGCACATGCTTTGCACTATCTTAGTTTATGTGTATATGCACTATCTTTTTACATATGTTCAGTAGTGTGTATTTTATGTAGAATATTTTAGTTAAGTGTGCACTATTCTATTAATTTAATTTATTGTAATCAGTTTTTAGGGAGAGCGCTGCACTTTATATTTATACGTTTACACACACTTACCTCCTATCCGATGTTGGCAGCTAAAAACAAAAGGGAAGGGATCTCTCCCTCTCTGTCTAGGTGGATCGGGTTGTAGGGTAGTCAGGTGTAAACGGACAGCTGGTCCTTATAATCTCGGCCGCCCATAGAGCAGAGCGGGCTGTCTTTGTGTCCGATCTGCAAAAACCAAGGGGATATGTACCTGTCATCCTCCCACTTTGCTCAGCAGGGGATCCGAGAACAGATCCCCTGCTGAGCAAAGCAGATTCTGCCCTGTGTGAAAGGAGCCTTATAGAACAAAATAAAGCAAATCAGAGAAGTTAAGAGTTGGGGTTTGTGTACACTGTAATAAAAAAAACATCCAGTAGGGGGTGAGAGATGACAGTGCAATGTGTACAGAGTATTGTATCCTCACCTCCTTCTCTCTGCACCAGGTAGTTCAGGTTCACAATATTCAGGATGGCTTCCAGGTCCTTGTCTGTGAAGTCTTTGGCCCTCATGTCATCTGCAGTGTCAGGGTAAATCACCTGATCACGGAGGGTGCCCACAGACATGTAAGGCCTGAAAAAGCAAAGCAAATGTGTTACTCAGCTTAGTAAATAGCCATTTGCTCACCAAATCTCACATCATAAAAACAGCACACTGAAAGGCAAGGGAACTAGAATCAGAAACAGACTTTTTAAAACACTTCAAAGAGATGCAACTGAATCAAACATGAATCCATCATACCCACAACAATGACGTATTCTAGAACATCAGGCACGACATTAATGTATTGGTTAACCCTACTTGAACTATTATTATTATTATTATACAGTATTTATAAAGCGCCAATAGTTCGCTCAGCGCTGTACATTACAAAGGGGGACAGAACACGTGACAGAATAATACCAATACAATGCAAAACATGAGGGGATCGAGGGCCCTGCTCTTTCGAGCTTACAATCTAGGAGGGAGGGGATGGTGGCACAGGAGGAGATAGCTGTGGGGGATGGAGTGGTAGGAAGAGTGGAGGAGGTCGGCAAGTTAGCAGGGGGTGGGGTAGGCTTCCCTGTAGAGATGGGTTTTCAGGGTGCGCCTAAAGGAGAGGAGAGTAGGTGATAATCTGATGGGTTGGGGCAGGGAGTCCCAGAGGATGGGTGACACCCTGGAGAAGTCCTGGAGGCGGGCATGGGAGGAGGAGACAGGGAACTAGAGAGAAGGTGGTCTTGTGAGGAGCGGAGTGTGCGTGCTGGGTGGTACTTGGATATTAGGTCAGTGCTGTAGTTCGGGGCAGTGTGGTGGACGACTTTGTACGTCAGTGTTAGGATTTTGAATTTGATCCGTTGCGCAATCGGAAGCCAGTGGAGGGATTGGCAGAGGGGGGTGGCGGAGATAGAGCGGTTGGAAAGGTGAATGAGTCTGACTGCCGTATTCGACTGAAGCGGGGAAAGCCAGCGGCAAGGCAGGCCAGTGAGGAGGGAGTTGCAGTAGTCGAGTCGTGATATGATGAGGGAGTGGATGAGCTGTTTAATGGTCTCTGGGGTTATGAACGTGCGGATTTTGGCGATGTTGCGGAGGTGGAGTCTGCACGAGTTTGTTAAAGATTGGACTTGGGGCTGGAAGGATAGGTTGGAGTCCAGAATGACACCAAGTACTCTGGCCTGCGGGGCGGGTTTGATGGTGGCGTTGTTGGACATGATGAAGAAATCATTGGGGGGGGGGTGTCCGGGCTGGGGGGAAGACAAGAAACTCGGTCTTGGAGAGGTTCAGTTTAAGGAAGTGGAGCGACATCCAGTCTGATATGTCGCTCAGTAGGTGTGTGATTCGAGCAGAGACTGAGAGGGTGAGGTGGGGGGTTGAGAGATAGATTTGTGTATCGTCGGCATAGAGGTGGTAGTTGTAGCCATGAGAGTGTATGAGTTGGCCAAGGGAGGAGGTATAGATGGAGAAGAGAAGGGGCCCGAGGACGGAGCCTTGAGGGACCCCAACAGAGAGGGGGAGTGAGGGGGAGGTGGTAGCGTTATAGGTAATGCTGAAAGAGCGTTGTGACAGGTAGGATGAGAGCCAGGAGAGAGCAGAATCTCTGAGGCCGAGGGAGTGTAGTTTTTTTGAGGAGGAGGGGGTGGTTGACTGTGTCGAAGGCTGCAGAGAGGTCAAGGAGTAGGAGCACTGAATAGTGGCCATTAGCTTTGGCGGTTAGCAGGTCATTTGAGAGTCTGAGTAAGGCAGTTTCGGTGGAGTGTAGGGGATGGAAGCTGGACTGTAGGGGGTCGAGGAGGTTGTTGTCGTTGAGGTGAGAGCATAGGCGGGTGTAGACGAGGCGCTCGAGGATTTTAGATGTAAATGGGAGCAGGGAGATGGGTCTGAGGTTGTTCAGGTCATTGGGGTCCAGGGAGGGATTTTTAAGTATGGGGGTGATGTGTGCATGTTTCAGAGGGAAGGGGAAAGTGCCGGAGGAGAGGGAGAGATTAAAGATGTGGGTGAGGGAGCGTAGGATGGAGGGGGAGGGAGGTCGTAGGAGTTGTGAGGGGATAGGGTCGATGGGGCAGGTGGTCAGGTGGGCATCAGAGAGGATCTTGGAGACTTCCTCGATGGTAGTAAAATCAAAGGTGTGAAGTGTTGGGGGGGGGCTTCAGTATGAGGAATGAAGGGTGGGGTGGAAGTGGAGGTCAGAGCAGTGGTGGGGTCGTGGGAGAGGGGTGATGAGGGGGTAGCTGAGTGAGGGGGAACGGGGTTGGGGGGAGTTTGAGCAGCGACGAAGTCCCTGCGGGTTATGTCGAGGGAGAGGGGGGATGAGGGGGTAGCTGTGTAAGAGGGGACAGGTTGAGAGGGCATGTGAGTTGCGGCGATGTCCTTGCGAATTGTGTCAATCTTGTTTTTGAAGTGATTGGCAATCTCAAGGGCAGTGAGTGAGGTGCTGGGTGGAGGTGGGGAGGTGGGGTGGCGAGAGTAGAGAGTTTAAGGTGGAGAAGAGTCAGCGAGGATTGGAGGAGAGGACCTTGATGAGGGTCAGGAAGTAGGCTTGTTTGGCTGCGTGGAGGGAGGAGGTGTAGGTGTGGAAGGCAGATTTGTAGCGGGTGAAGGCTTGTTGGGATTTGGTTTTGCGCCATAGTCGCTCCAGGGCGACATGCGGCTCTGGATTATGATTCTTTCTACAGTCGTTTACATGAACCCATAGCATATCATACAGCTGTGCCCAGGTCCACAAAAAGCTGTATTTTGCCAGCAGGTAAGAACTGCAGTAGTCGTTCATAGAGGAATCAAATGTAGAAAATGTTTATCTCCACTAGCACAATTTTTCCTAAAATAATTTTGGTTATAAAAACACATTAAGATCTCCTTTTTACTAATTTCACATTTATCATCATTATCACCATAACTGAACGGCTGCAGCTCATATATTGTGATCAAACATTATGCTTTAGTGGTGCGCTGCCATCTAGTGGGAAAGACATGCAGTGCAGCAGCCACAGTTTAGAAGTGGAAAATCTTTAAGGTTGAATTGCAAAAGTATAACTCTGTCAACCAATAATTTCACCTTTCATCCAATTAAGGTGGCCTTTTTTTTTAAGTGCATACCCCTGTACCCCTCTGTAAAAGCCACTCAGTGGTATCTCAAATATCCCTTGGAATGATAGTGTTAACCACATGCCTACAGGGCACTTTTACCCCCTTCCTGCCCAGGCTAATTTTCAGCTTTCAGCGCTGTCACACTTTGAATGACAAATTGCGCAGTCATGCAACACTACCCAAATGAAATTGTTATTTTTTGAGACAAATAGAGATTTATTTTGGTGGTATTTAACCACCACTGGGGTTATTTTTTTGCTAAACAAACAAAAAAGACCACAAATTAAAAAAAAAAAAAAAAAGTTTTCCTAGTTTCTGTTATAAAGTTTTGTAAATAAGTGATTCTTCTCCTTCACTGATGTGCGTTGATGAGGCTACACTGATGGGCACTGATAGGCTGCACTGATGAGGCTGCACCAAGATGTGGCACGGATAAGCGGCACTGATGGGCACTGATAGGCACCACTGATGGGAACTGACTGCACTGATGGGCACTGTTAGCCAGCACTGAGGAGACACAGATAGCCAGCACTGATGGGCACTGATAGCCAGCAATGATGGGCACGGATAGCCAGCACTGATGGGCACGGATAGCCAGCACTGACTGGAATGGATAGCCAGCACTGATTGGAACGGATAGCCAGCACTGATTGGAACGGATAGCCAGCACTGATGGGTACGGACAGCCAGCACTGATGGACATGGATAGCCAGCACTGATAGGGCTGCACTGATGATCAGTGTAGATGTCCCCTCTGAGAAATGCCGCTTACCGGCTGTCCTCTTCTCATGCGCTTTAAGCATGAGGAGAGGACTGCTGATAACTGGCATTTTCTATTTACACTATGATCAGCTGTGATTGGACACAGCTGATCACATGGTAAAAGGCGGCTCTGTTTGGCCCTTTACCTTGACACATGATCAGCTGTGTCCAAAGGACACAGCAATCACAGCTCATGCATGGAGTGCACTCCAGGGGGCGCGAAGGGGGTGTGATTCTGGGAGGTAGTCCATGGACGCTCTCCTAGAACTAGCCAACTGCGCTGTATCCGTCTTTTGGCTATAACGCGGCCAGGAAGTGGTTAATTACAATAATCTCCTAATTGGGTATAAATATTTTTTTAAATTATTCTTTATACAGTTTACCATTTAGAACCTTCTACACTACATGAACATCCTCATTTATAAGCGCCTGTGCTCTTCCCCTTTGCTCTGCATGCTACAGAGTACACTCTGGCTGGGACCCTTTGTCAACTAAACAGCTGACGTCCCAGTGTGCAATTAAGAGCCAACGGGAGCAGGTATTAGGGCTCATTCATACTATGTGTGGGAAATGGCGGTTTTCCACACTGGATTTTTATTGTTTTTACCTGCACCGCACCCCAGAATATAATGGATGACAGCATTTCAGATGAACCCTAATTTCTTAATTAAAGTGCATATGTTACCCTAAAGATTTCTTTTTTTTCTGTATGGGTGTTCAAATTAATACCAAGAGGTCCCACAAGGCACAGAAGCTGATCTCTGTTAGTGTGGTCAGTTTTCATCCATTGGCTGGCTATTCAGAGGTACAGGACACTGTGCAGACACACAGCATGCCTGCACTGGGTAGTTTATTCAGCCACCATGCCCCCCACCAATCCCACCCCGCCTCTGGCACCCCCCCCCCAATCACAGCCTGTCTTTGCAACACACCCTCTCCCAATCACAGCCTGCCTCTGGCACACACCCCTCCCAATCATAGCCTTTGGAACACACCCTCTCCCAATCACAGTCTGCCTCTCGCACACACACCCTCCCAATCACACACTGGATAGAGAGAAAACAGGTGGCGCACACACCTAGTGCATTATCCAAGGTTTATTGTAGGAATTAAATCATAAAAACATACTCACAGACAAAGCATGTATCTAAAAACAATAATACCCAATTTTGCGTAAGGTGAATCCACTACCAATATATAGTCCACTATAAATCTTATGCAAAAAAATGTCCCAAATTCTTCCAACG